ATGGCGACGGTGGCAATGGCGATGGCAGGGGTGGCGATGGCAGGAATGGCGACGGTGGCAGTGGCGATGACAGGGATGGCGACGGTGGCAATGGTGATGGCAGGGATGGCGACGGTGACAATGGCGATGGCAGGGATGGCGATGGGGGGAATGGCGATGGCAGGGATGGCGACGGTGGCAATGGCGATGGCAGGGATGGCGGCAGTGGCAATGGTGATGGCAGGGACGGCGACGGTGGCAATTGTGATGGCAGGGATGGCGACGGCGGCAATGGCAGCAGTGGGGATGGTGACGTCAGGGATGGTGATGGTTGCAATGGTGACGGTGGGGATGGCAACGGTGGCAATGGCGACGGTGGTGACGATGATGGTGGCAGGGGTGACGATGGCAGGTGGTGGCGATGGCGGGGATGGTGATGGCGGCAATGGCGGCGGAAGGGAAGGAGTTTTGTTTGGGCACACTGCAATGATGGGAGCCAATGGGAAACAAGAACAGGCCTGGGCTAGGAGGGTTGTCAGTGTCAATGAGATGTTTGCAGCCCTTGGCAGGTCATGCAGTGGTGTCGTCTGTGTGAGTGTCCGGACTGGTGCGCCAGCATTGTTTTTTATCATGTGATGCTCAGGTGATAGCGTTTTGGGTTTCCCGTGCCGGCTTCAGACTGCAACTTCCCATGTATGCTGGCATGCTGCTGGGCATGGAAGTCGATAGAGAGGTGTCAGAGAGAGGTTTCACTTGGAATTCCTTTCAAGGCACATACTAAGTGCTGCTGGCAGGTTCACAGGTGACAGCCTTGGAGCATTTGTCTTACTCGATGCCATAATCAATCCATGAAATTTAGATTAGCTTTAGTTTCATTCTGGACTCTTTCATAGCCGGAACCTTGACGGACTGCATGCTACAATCCAGGTACGGCATGCAGTGGACCGGTGACACTCAAGAAATCCTGCATACACTTCCTTAATCTTAGATGCCATAGTTCTTCCATTTTGTTGTAAGTACAGATTTACAACGATTACTACTGCGCTTGACATTGAGCATCTAACAGCGACTCACTGCCAACACAAAGCGTTGACTACAGATGTTTATGCCATTAGACCTCATTTAAGTGAGCGAGGACAAGAGCTTGCCACAAGGCTGAAGTTTGAGAAGAGGCTTCTTCTCTGTGAGGGCGCCCTTAGGTCCAGTCTGCTGGGCTCTCTTACTGACGATGGTGACAATGAAATCTTCCAATGTGACTGGGAGGCACAGGAGCAGACCAATATTTTCAAGCTGCTCGGGCTGGGTGAGTCACGGGACTGTGTTGACCAGGTCCACATTGCCGGCGGCCACATCATGACTCTGTACTCGTCATCACAGAACTTTGTTACCTGCTTCTATCTGTTATTCTGACATGTGTGCTAGCTATTTACCGCCGTCACGGGTTGCAGTCCGATGCTGCTGCATGATAACTAACGTAATGTTTTATTGTTCTTTGCCCCTCTATTTGTTTTCAACGCAGATGTATTTTAGCTCTTGAGTGTCGAGGAGGCAGAGCAGTGTCTTGAAGCTGTTTCAAGCAGCAGCCGGACCCCATGACCAATGGATGTCGAGCGCTGGACCAGATCACCTAGCAGCAAATCAGAAAGTGAGTTCCTGTCAAAGTTTGTGTTGGTTTCATGTCAGGGTTACAAATAGGCTGGTTGGGTGCTCACCAAGAATGCATGGTTTTGCGACATCGTGTTAATTGTGTGCTTCAGTATAGCAACCTGTCCATTTTTACTCCACTAAGCCTATATGTCTATAACTAACTGACTGACACATGTCCCGCTGCTGTTGCAGTCAACCACCTTGGACATGGTGAAGCAGTGGGCGACAGATGTGGGCGGTGGAGATTGCAACAGCCATGATGACAGCAAAGGCCACCTCAAAGCGCAGCCGTTCTGGACCTGATGTCGTCTTGACTGAAGCGGATCATGGAAACAAAGGCGAAGGGGAAGGGGGGCAAGAAACGACGGTGGTAATGGATGCACGTTTATTTTGGGGTGAATGCACATGCAATGTGATGGACAGCTGCAATGTCTTGTTTTGTGGAGGTGCCTTTTCTTAGGGCTGAAGGCGTGTTCTTATCACATGGTGGACAGGGTCTTGAGACGGCTTGGCTTATAAGCAAATCCGTATCAAGACGCTGTTCATCATGTGATAAGAACACGCCTTCCTAGTTAGGATTGGAGGCGCGTCCATATGGCGCGATGGACATTATGAAAAAGCTTAATTTTGTACTGAAAGGGGCCTTCATATCACGTGATGTACATGTTTCATTTTATGGAGACGGCTTCATTTTGGACTGAAAGGGGCCTTCATATCACGTGATGTACAACTTTCATTTTATGGAGACGGCTTCTTTTTGGACTGAAAGGGGCCTTCATATCACGTGATGGACATGGGCTCGTTTTATGGAGTCCACCTTCATTTTGGACAGAAGGGGTATTCAAAGTGTAAGGGACGTTCATTCTGAGCTACCTTCATTCTGTAATGAAGTGGTCTTCATTCCAAAAATGAATCATGGCCCTGAAATGAATGGAGCAATGAAGGGTCCTTCATAATGGTATGAAATGAATGTGAATCGCATATAGAATGAAGCCTCTAGGTTCCCAGAGTGTACTCAATAGCATTTGTGATCTTAACAACACCTTTTCGTTTATGATTTGCTGCAGCATTTCAAGGTGTCCTGCATATGGCTGCATAATTGTGCTAAACAATACAAAGAGCAGGTTGTCTGAGCATAATCAGCTGAAGCTTACTATGCTCAGACAGCCTTACTCTTTATTGTTATTAGGGTCTAGTAATCTAGATCCTAATAACAATAAAGAGCAGGTTGTCTGAGCATAATTTTAGTTTACTAAAATTATGCTCAGA